GAAAATGTCTGGATGTTGGTTGGGTTTTCGTCGAAAAGAAGTTGTAAAACATCGTGTACATCGTCGACTTGATGTCGTGTAGGAGTCGTGAATGTGCATTTAATCCAGCTTGGTCGGGCTTCATCGGGGAATTAATTTGATCGGGACGATCGAGTTGATCTGATCGGCGGTGAGAACATAACATAATTAAGATCGCATTACAATTTGTTTTATTAAATTAGACATTTCTGATGAATAATTAATTGATGAAAGTGCAAATTTATATAAAAAATATATTAGTATGGATGCATCGCAGCTTACAACGACAACGACAACAACAACAATAGCAATAATAATAATAATAATAATAATAATAATACTTCTACTACTACTACTACTACTAGTACTAATAATAATAATAAGAATATTTGTTTGTTTTGCATGGAAGATTGAAATATTTTTCAATGAGTGAACATCAGTGAACATCAGATGCAATATTTTAACGAGTGGGTAGCCTCGAGTAAAATATAATAGCTGGTGTTCACGAATGAAATTTATTTCAATTTTATACTTTAAACAAATAAATTAGTTTTAGTTCATGCTTATTAAGTGATTTTGAGTTTGTTTTACTTCTTTTGGAGCTTAACGTCATGCATTCTCCTTATGATGTCATCATATCATGACGTCACATCATCAATTTTGAAATGTAGTTTTGTTGAAATTTCTCTAATTTTGTTACATTTTTATCCGCATTCTTTTCCTAAAGAAGCACAATTTGCGTATTACAAAATTTAGTTTTACTTGTTATTCAATTTAGCTATGATATTCTTTTCATACGCATCCAGATATAGTTCGGCTACAGAGCAAATTATATTTTATAAATTCCATTAGTGGTAAATCAGAATAAATTCATTTGATTTATTTCAGTAAAACACTGGAAAGCATAAAATACAACAATAATGATAATAAAAATAATAATTATAATAATAATAATAATAATAATAATAATAACAATAAAACAAGAGAGTCTATAACTTTTGACTGTCACAGTAGCTGAAATAAAACTGACATATAATTTTTTTTAACATAAAAACAGCAAAATTAAAGTATGACATGATATATTTGATAAAAAATCAATTATTTACGTCCTCAACGGAATGTTCCTAAAACCTGTTTCTAAAACATACGATATCGTGAGTTTTTCATATCCATATCCCTGAATGAGAAATTTAAAGGCCCATTATGGCTCATTAGATAATTAATCATTTTTACTTCTAAATTTTTATATACATCTCATAGCCAGTTCTATGCTATAAGGATTTTCTGTTAAGGCCTAGTAATGAACATACACTCATGTATGGTTATCAATAACCATTTTCTATAAGAGTGACTTTATCTGTTTGCATTGCTAGATCCACATAAAAAAGCATAGAACCTTTTTTTCATTGTCCTTGGCGTATGTAAAATTTTGACACACATTATTAATAGCCGGTAAATTAACATTAATGGATAAAAGTGTCATTAAATGCGGAAGAAATTTAAGATAACCACGTCGTCAAAAAACCTTGTGTGTAGTGTCTTCACAAAGTTTAACCAAGTTTACAATCGATTTTTATAAATTTACGCTCTTAAGGCTTGAGGTATATTAGTTATTTCTATTCAAAGTATTTAGCGGATGTATAATTGATAACGCACACAAATTGTCATATACCATAGATATCCAAAGGTTATTAAGCGACAGGTAAGAACTTTCATTTTGATTATAATTAGTGTTTGTATTATGTTTTAATTAAGCTCTACACCAATATGACCTGCGTAGTTATCTTAATTGGAAAATGTTTTACGTATATTTATATACTGGTGGTTGTATTTTCAACTGACAGACATATTATCATATTTTTATCAATAAAATTGTATTTATATCCACTAAACTTTTTTCATTAAAAATGTCTGGTTATAAACAATATAATTGTAAATGAAAATGAGTTATCAACCCGGAAACATAGTTAACATTCATTGCAATACTATATATAACACACAGGCTTATTTTTATCATTGGTATTTAAACAACAACGTTTGAATGAATTTGATACTTCGTTGTAGAATTATAGTTATATATAAAACTGTTCAATTAACAATATTATGATTCAACCGTGTTTATGTTTATATCGGTCATTAATTGTAACATCAAATGAAACTGAAACGAAAGTTGTCTAATGACAATTAAGCTACCTGCAATATTTTTTACGACATGATATAACTGTAATTGGCAAGCTTTGGAAAATCAAGGATAAATTATATATCTTTTCCTTATTTTTTTTAAGATTTTTAAAGGTATAGCTAAAACAGTTTCAGTGAATTTGAATTAGTACACCATGCTGCTTTAATTTAACAAATATTACAACTTACATGGTTGGTTTCAGATAACGACTTTTTCCGGGAAAAAGAAGATATTGATAGTTTAATGATAGAAGACAAATGTCGTATATCATTTTTAAACAAATAGATCAGCTTGTATTTATCTATGTTTGCAGATACTGTGACAGTAAACTCAAATTTAGTGTTTCAGTCATACCAGATACCTATACACATTTGTATCTTTGTTAATTTAACGTAACATTGAATTTTATTTACTTGCAAATTTTGATTTACGATGACAAAAGAGATGTACATAAATATGATAAATATGCTCTCTTAACGTACTAAATATATTGTGTTTTGTCAACCTGGAAGTTTAATGAGAAATAGTTTAAACCTCATAAAATAACTACTTGTTGAAAGCATAAGGAAATGAAAAGATAACATCTTTGACTTCATACATTAATCAGAAGAAATTCACTGTTTTTAAATCATTTGATTATTATTGTTCAATAATTCGTAAACAATAATTACTGTAAAGATAACTTTATTATAAATAAGTATTCTCGTCAGTCATTTTGTATACAAACATATTTGAATAATGAATGGTTAACGGATTTCGTGTCAGGTAAGGCAATGTCTGTATGTTGAACACATAATATTTTCAAATGCAAAGGTAAAAACGAATCATACAATACTGGTTTTGCGTTCATTTATTTGAAACTTAAACTGCTATGGTTTTACACTATTTGTCATTTCACATTACTGTCATTGTGTAGACATGATTCATAGCTTAACTTTGAAATACGAGGAATTGTGTTCCAGATCAAACAGATATCAATTCTTATAAGACGTATAGATAGTTTGAAGAAGAAAAAATCATACTTTAGAGAGAAGTATATCATTTTACATAGATATCAAAAATTTAATATTTCATAAACTCATATGATTTTACACCGAATACAGATGCAACGATGTTTAACAAATGCTAGAAAGAAGTATATCATTTTACATAGGTATCAATAAATGAATATTTCATAAACATGTATTGATTTTTACACCGAATATATATACAATGGGGTTTAGAGTAGCAGAATCAATTAATGAGAATAAATAAAACAAACATATAAAATGTTTGTATAATATTCATCACCAATGTTGTTTTTTTTCTCGTACTGTATACTAGCTAATTAAAGATTTCCTTCATTGTTACCGTGACTGATCGTTTTAAATGGTTATGTAGATTACATGATATAAATATATCTGTCATCTCATCGGTCCAAACAATAGTGAACAGAGCATTTTATAATATAATATTCACCGGGTTTAATATCATTTTCACTAGCTGGATTGACTTTCCAAAATTAATCTAAATGAAACTCATATCCGTAAACTGTTTATTATTAGCGTGCACATAAAAATAATGTTTTGTTAAATGTCATATATCTCAGTTAAAAGTAGAACCGAACATACGTGTATAAATTTAATTGACTTTCGGGAGGATGTTGTACTTCTGACGTCAACGTGTTTACGTCTTTCTTCCCTACGCTACAATGAAAACAAGAAAACGTTGCAGTTTTGTCCCTTATAACGGTTTACTTTTTGTAATTTACTGTTGTTTTTTTCCCGTGCTACAATGAAAACATGATAATTTTGCTTTTTTTTTTTATAAAAAAAATGCTTAACTTTTGTGATTGTTTTTAATCTTAGCCGTTTTATATAATAATACAATGTTTGACAAGTGTGACACGGTCAATATGTCAAATTTCGGTGAATATCGCATCATATATATAGTCGATTCATTTGATATACGCTTGTAATTCAATGCAAACCGCAGTACAAATAACGGTTTATCATACATTGAATGACATTGTGATACATGTTTTCAAATGCGTTTCAATACAACATTAATATCAAATATAAATATCCAAAGATTTTTTTAAGTAGATACCAACTTTTAGGTCTTGCTATATATTGGCAAAGGTCATTCAATATGTAATTCCTTTTCATTGCGATGATCTTATTAGTAACAGTTTACACATTTTTTTCCGTTTTACTAAATATAAGTCAAAACAGTAGCTTTATACCATATTTGTATAAGAAACTATCAATAATGTTCCGCAGCTTCATATTTATACATTTATGATGTATTTTGTTCTCTCAGATATCACAACACATAGTTAATTATAATTTGAATATATACACACTAAATAGACTAACACATAATTGTATAGTGCTAGGTAAGATTTTTTTGTTATACAATTACATTGTAATAGTAAAAATAGATGGTAAGCATATTTAAGCAAAGGCAAATTTATTTTAAAATAAAATGTTCTCTTTATTCCATTAGTTATTTCTGGTGTCTTCATTTGAGCAGTTAATCATACACTTTACAGGTTCAGTGGCTTACAAAAACATTTTCCTCAAGCTCCGTCCATAAATGAAGAATAGATTGCAAGGTTATTAATAAATTTTACCTTTAAGTAGTTTTATGACAGTATCAAATATTGTTAATGATAACCATGAAATATAAATGATATGTATCATAAAGGTACGTTCGTATATACAGATAACAAATTGATATACAAAGGATACATTATATGTCAAGTTGTTGTAAGATTAACTTTTTATGAATTCTACTTTAATTTCATGACTTAAAGGTACGGTGTTGTCACAGAATTATGAAAGTTCCTGGTCAAAGAGAGACGAAAGACAAAAATATTAAACCATGCAGTTTATGTGAAGATTATGATATAACAACAAATGCAGATGGGTTTTGCGTAGAATGTGAAGTCAACATTTGCAATTCATGTTTTATGAAACACAAAGGACGTAAGAATAATAGAAATCATTCCTTAGTATCAGTCGATGATTCGAGTTCGGTACAGGTAATGGTTGGTGATACGTATGAAACATGTCAAGAGCATGATGGAGAGTTTGTGAAGTTTTATTGTCCAAAGCACGAACAAGTTGGCTGTGGAGAATGTGGCGTTTTAAACCATAATGAATGCAAGTTGGAATTCATTCGAGACAAAGTTACTGCCTTTAGTACAAGCCAAGATTCTAGAGATATCATACAAGAGATAACTAGGTGCAAGAAAGAGGCTGAAGATAGTGCCTTATTACTTGTGATCAACAGACAACATATTGCCGAATTCTATGAGCAATTTGTTTGTGACGTAGAGGCATTCGCAGATCATGTGATTGAGCGTATACAAATAATGAAATCTAGCGTTCTGAATCAGGCAAAGGAGGTTATGTTGAACGACAAGAAAAAAATGGACGATCTACAGAAGCAGACCGACGACATAATAGCAGAATTGTCACGTCAAAACAATATGCTAGAATCAAAAATTAATCAGCAGAACAAGTTTTTCGTAGCTTCTCTGCAAGTAAAGTCGTTTTTGAAAAATACGAAGAGAAATGTAGATATTGTAAAAAAGAAAAATATCGTGACTCAGTATAAATTCAAGCCTGACGAAAAACTTTCTGAATCAATTAAAGAAAGCAATGTGATTGGGTCGCTCATTGAACTGTCAGAAAATAGTAAGTTTTATTTCATTATTATCATTGTTACTTTTATATGTTGTTACACATTGTCATTTTATGATGAATAATATCTAAACAAGAGGAGCATGCTTATTACTGCGTTGCTTTTGTCGTCAATGATGAATATTTCAATATACTAGTATCTGTAGTAACCTTTTAACGGAATCAAATTCTATTTTAGTTGAGTTTTATTAAAAGGGCGCGTGTGTGTGTGTGTGTTATTTTTTTGCCACTCGTTGATCAGGTAATGTCATTTTATAAAGGTCATTAAGCATGCATACTCAATTGAGTTTAATATACATTTTTAGACAAAAACAAGACATAAGTTACTTCAGTGTATATGAAACATTTGTACTTTTTAGTTCAACAACATCAAGATGAATTCAGGCAAACTTATCTGGCTGATAAAAGGCAAGTTCAAGATCCTTTACTTCAAATTCAAAATCCTTTACCTCAGGTAAGTCGATATAAGAATTTTCATTTTAGACACTCATTGTAGTTATTTTGAGATGTTCAAGTAGTTACAAAGGAAACGTTGAAACTTGCAATCCGAACAAAAAGAACATAAGGGAGAAAGATAATTATAAAAAAGTCTGAAGTGCAAAACATAAAACTTTCTTCCAGGCTTATTGACCACAAGTCAAGATTATTGTTCACAACAAAACAATAATCAACTATGTTTACTTGGACGTTTGCTGAGACATGAAAGTAGTTCTGCTACTTAGAAAATGGCACACAAAGTAGTAGTTAAACAATTTAACACAATTCCCAAAAATGTATTAGCCGATACAATTACATATAAGTCATTGTACAGGGCACATAAAAGTGAGCACAAAACTGTTGTTAGGCAAACAGAGTATTTCATGCAAAACCTGAATGTTTTAGCATTGTAACAATTGAAAAGTAAATAACTAGAATAAGTATTTACTTATTTATTTATTTATAATTTATTTGATAATTTCACAACTATTTAAAAAGGTTGTTAATATCTAAAGCTGTATAATCATGAACTTGTTTATGTTATATTAGTTCTTATACTAGAACTGTTCTTGGATACATTCATAATCATTGTCATCATGACAAAACGTTTTTTGTTGTTATTGGTAATTGGTCAGAATTTGTCTTGAAAAAGCTGTAAATACAACTGTCGCATTTTATTTTGAAATTTAAAGAGGTCAATCTAATAAGTTGATAAATATTGACAATTATCCGTTTACACAGCATCTTTATTTATTATAAAGCATGCAAAGAGTAAGAGCAGAACCAAAGAGACTGGTAAGTGATATTATTTCTCAATAGCTTTCACTTTCTTTATATTCAATTCAACTCACACGGGTGATCATATCAATGGAGTTTATTAACAAACATGTTCAGATTTCATTACTAGCATTTAAGTTCTTCAATCGTCTCGATGTAAGCTATTATCATACAACTGTAGAAAATTTAACTAATCTTGAAACGTGTAATTGTAATAGATAAAGAATTGGCAGTGGCATGTGAAAGAGAAGACACGACGAGGGCAGTAGCGAACCAAAAGCTTCAAGTGAGTTATTTTATATCTTAAATGATTTTTTTTCTTCAGAAATTTGCTCTATGAAATTAAGTGTCTTCTAAAGATGTTTCCTTGTAATCCTGTATAATTACATTTTTCCGGCAACCAAACAATAAATGACGACAACCTTTTGATTTTGTGATAAATAAAGAAAGTTATATTTATTAATTATTATAATGTGTCGTTGTTTGAAATATTTTTTGGCGATTTTGGCATTAGCTATAATAAGTTTGTGTTAGTGTAGTTTTCGTACTAACAAGGCACCGATCATAAAAACAGTTTTGATTGTCAAACTAAAATAACTAATCATTTATAAATCCAGCAAATATTAAAATGCCTTTCAGCCCAGCCCAACAAATATTTCCTTAGGATATACATATGTCAAATAATCTAGTGTTTAGATTATTGTATAATAAAATGACCAATTAAGTATGAAAGTTTGATTATTTGCGATGTTTTGAGTCTCCGTGGTAGCAAAATAAAATCATAAAATTACAATTATTTTGTTCCAACAGAATTGTTTTGATTTTGGCATATAGTTGTTAAACTTTTTGTTTGCTTGTTTACATAAATGCTAGATAACTAAATGGACCATATTTGAAAAGTGTATGCATACAAATTGGCATCATTGTTAATATATATCTCAGATAACTATACGTTAATTTATGGTACGATTCAGTCAACATTTATAAACGATTATAAGTGATATCCTACATATATTAATTAAACGAATTCATCAATAATTTAAAAATTGATTTATTTTTTATTTTATTCATTCGATTTATCAATTAATTAAATAAGGTATACATTTCAAATGCAACAAGTCAGCTTCAAAACTAAAGTAATTCGTATGGTTTGTAAAAAAAACAAAAAAGTCATGTGATCAATAGATGAAAAAATCTAAGAAGAAAGAAAAATGATGAAAATGAAAAGTATTGTTCTTTTCTTTAACCAGAACTCTTCTTATGTAAAGACTTGAAAAAAGTTAATATGTTCAAACAACCACCCATTTTAAAATAATTGAAAAAATGCTGGGGTGTTTAAAACGCTTGCAACTTTCGATGATAACAAATCACGTATTGTCGTAACAATCGTATTCCTTTAAACCAGTTTTGAAACAAAAAGGGCAGATTATCTCTGCATCTTACGTATAACGACATCATATGTACACGGCTATGGGTACTTATAGGACACCAAATGAGCGGTAGAGGGTTACGGGAAGGTTGAATTGAAATCAATGTATATTTTACTTAAGTTTTGCTTATTCTAGATCACGCTCAAACATAAAATATGTTTTACTTGATAATACCACCTGTACTTTTTGCTTGTAGATTTTTCAAAATAAAAATTAAAACAGATTTAACAGTTGTTTATGAAATTGTCGTTAATAAATTAATTATGTGTTTCATTTACAGTCATTACATGACAGGAAACTAGTTTGCAGAAATCTAAAAATAGATGGCGAATGTCTCAGGTATATATACAACTTCAATGTAAATGATGACTTTTTATTAATTCAATTTTATATATCTTTCACGGTACTCTTAATATGCAAATACAAATAACGCTTAAATGCCTTTATAATACATAAAACATTATTAAAATCTGACACATTTATTAATATTGTGATTTAGAAATTTTACATGATTGTATCAAATTAAGTGTAAAAGTAATATGAACATGTATATGATATCCGCTTGCTAATTATATAAGCTCTAAAAATGGATATAGCAATACCGAGTTTAAAGTTATATATCTATTTGTTTCTTAATAAACATGTATGTGAATAATATAGACATAAGGTATTGCTTCAAAACACTATTTTTAGGTTTCCACTACAAATTTAGAGAAACCTTCGTAAATAATTATTATAACAAGATAATCATCAGCACTTTAAATAAACTTTTAAAATTAGTAACGTGGAATTTTCATCAAATAATAATATAACTAAAATGTAACGATATTTGATATACCAGCAAAAGAAACATGGCTAAACAAACAAAAGTCACAAACAGTTCAAATGCATTCAGAATGATTAACTATTACAATTCTTTCCTAATGATTATTAACTATTGCAGTTCTTTCTTAATGATTTGTAACAAATGTATGCAGTATAATAATACGTCTTCACATTTTTTACAGTTATGCCGCATACGAAAGTAAAGCTATTGGATTGTATGTGTTCAAGGAGAATGTGCGTGCGGGAACATTCTTTGAAGTTGAAATATTAAGCATGGGTGAAAGCGGGTCGTTAGGTAAAAATAATATACTTTTTGTGTAAATATTCAACTGGCTTGTATAGTCAGTTTGTAGATATTTGATAAGTAATTGCAGTATTGCTGGTACAAATTAATGATTGCATCATTATGATTTAAATAGAACGGCATCTATACTATTGATGTATATGGTGTTCAAAAAATATTAGCATTACTGTAACATATTTTATATAACGTGTTTTTCTTTCTCGCAATGCTATGTCTAGCACTTTTTTGTTTTAACTCAAATATTGTTCATGACTTGTTTTTATTGAATAGACTCTTAGAACCATAAATGAAAAGTTAGATAAGTTTTTATTTATATAATCAGTTCAATAAAAACAAACGCTTTTCTTCAGCTTTCGACGTTTAGTCTTCTTGAGAAAAATTGACGTTTATAAAATAACAAATGACAATTTTTTTTTTTTTTTTTTTTTAATAAGTTTTTATTAACACTTTCAATTTCAGTTGAAAACGTTTTCTGTTTTATTTCTGTCACGTATATATAGGTTGAATAAAATAAAAAAAGAATGTGCAGTATATATTTATATTCAAGCTATTGGTGTAGTGACAGATAACTGTCCTGACGATCTTCTACCGGGCGTAGGCAATAATTCCGTTGGATACTATTCAGACGGCAAGTATGTATCGACAACTTTATTGTGTAAATATTTATTCTGTTCTATCTTTAAGTAACTGATGTTTGTATGATTGAAAGAAAACAGTAGTATGCATATATACATTTTTAAATTTGGAAAAAAGGTTAATAAAAATAACTTTCTTTGGATTTGTTATCATATCGTTAACCTTTTAGAAATATTCACGTATTAAAATGCAATATATGGAACAAATTATCATTATTCAGCAAACAATAGTCAAAACCTTAGCTGGAAATATTGTCATTTGCATGTTTCTTGGCCAGATGTTTAAGTACATTGTGTCAATTTTGTTTAAGCATAAGCTTTTAGCAGACTAAGGTTTAAATGTGTCGCATGAGATTTATCTTAGTTACATTCACTAGTTTCTCTACATGTAAAACAAAAATATTATTCCCATCATTCGGTAATTTTCCTTAAATATGAATATGCATTGAGTGCTTTTATTCAATAATTATTCATTATATGTATAAATAGATTCAAAACAGATATTATGTATGATTTAGAATGAAACTTACCGCTGACAATAAATAACAATTATATTTCTATAAATACCATGTTCCGGAGTCTCCGGTTTACGTAACTAACGAACGTTTTGCAAATGTTAAGTAAACGGAGAGTTTTCGGTTCCAAGAAATTTTACAACCATATTCTTATTAAATGTATGTTAGGAAGGTTTAACTTAGTCTCTTTTATTATTTTAATTAATGTTTGAGTATTTTACACTATTGGGACAGTATTTCTGTAGTATAAGCATTTGTTTCTGTATTATTCTATTCGAATTGTGTTCTGCAATTGCAGTTGAGTTAACACATACTTTTAAACTGTAAGATTTCCGTCTGCATCAAATACTTAATTTTGAAATATTTTCTGTAATTTAAGACCTTCCGATGCATTGTTTCCGAATTTAGGAAGAACATGTCCACCCATCTTAAACAAGATAAACACAGTTAGGGTTTAAATGAATGTGCAATTAGTTGTCATCAGTACCGTAAACTTAACAGTTGTCTTTTGTCTTCAAGTCTTGAATAAACAAAATAAACAGGTACGTTTAATGTGTTAAGAAATTTTTAAATTTATAATATAGCACATCTTGATAAATGATAACTGTCTATCTAATAGAAATGTTAATTTGTGTCTATTACTGAATATGAACATGATTTTGGTTGTGCATTTTGTTTTAAGGTAATAAACCATCGTTTAAAAACAGTTTCGTATTTAATTTGTCAATGGATATCTCAGTAAAACGTTTAATATAGTATATTAATAGCAAACTGTACCATGTAAATGATGAATTGCATAAATTTGCATATAAAGAAGGGATAACAAGGCTGTAACATGAGAAAGAAACTATGCGTTTGCAATTTTATAAACAGGAGCCTTAAAATGATAAGTGATACTAAAGGAATTCAAATATGACATGGTTGGTCGAAAATAAGGTTTTTCTTTGATGTATGTTTAGAGCAATGACTTGTGTGCAAAATTGTAGATAATTTGCTCACTCAGTGTCAGAAAAAAGTGTCCAAACAGATCCTTGTAAAAATTGTGGATATCATGTTTCTAGGTTTTTGGACCTTAATGGAATTCAAGATAAATATTGCATACACGTAACGTTTTACTTTAATATCCACTCATAAAGATGGAAAGAATGTTCGCGTGTTAGATTATTTTACACCAGGCGCTTGCATTGTGTATGTTTGTTGCATTTTCAGTAGGTGTCATACGATGTTAATGTCTTCATTAAGGATGTGTTTTCTTTAGATATGTAATTTTAACGCCACAGTATGCCTATCGTGTCAAACTGGTTTATTTATCAAAACCATGTAAATTATGTTATGGTATCGGTAATAACAAAAGCATACACAACCCGTGAAATTAATAGAATATTTATCCACGGTCAAATGTGTATGTAATTGAGCAAAAACGAATATCACAGTTATTACAAAATTGTTGAAACTCTATTCGCATACATATAACTTTTACTTGGATTTCAAATAATATTCAATCATGATCAAAGTATTAACATAATCTGATTGTAGTTTGTCACAATTTATTCATCATGAATAGTTTTATTTGTTTATTAACTAGAAAATTCTCTTATTTACACACAATCATGAGCTTAATTGACAAAAAATATAACTGTGAACTAACTACTAACTACTAACAACAAAGTATTTTAAATCAGTAACAATGTAAAATATTATGGACAAAAACCTTACTCCCATTAAGCATTGCTTAGAGTTAAGAGTCTTATATAGCTGTGTTCTCCTTTCTATGAAATTGATTAACAGGACTATAAATACCATATTCGTTTATTTAAACATGTAAATTTATTTTAAGGGTGTATACAGAAAGCAAATCCGGTAAAAAATCTGGTGATGCATGGAAAGTCGGCGATCGAATCAAGTGCGAAGTTGTTTTGTAAGTATTTAGTATTTTTAGCGTTGCTCGTTTCTAATGATTTGCCTTATAATTAAGATTTAAACAGAATATTTATTTTGTATTTGTTAGCATAAAAAATGCAATCGCGTGTTAAAGTGACATTATCAATACGGTATGATATGTCAGAACAGTGTGACATTAAACATTATTCAATGTTAATCTTATTATATTGAAAGTACCGTTTCTTAAATCGATTACTTAAAACATGCCACAAAATGTTTCAAACTTTGCAAAACCAGTTTTCAAATTGCCTAAGTATTTCGATCAAATTGTAATAAGTTATTTATTAAACGTGTGTATCCCGTTCGTATACGTTAGTCCCATTAAGAGCTAAGTAGCAGAACTTTGTTGTTGTTGTTTTGTTGTTGCTTTTTTATAAAAAATAAACTTGACTTTCTGTTATATTATATTAATCACATACATTTTTGACATTGCGATCCAAAAGACTTTCTATTGAAGTATGTGTTTTGGCTGGATTCCGAACAAAATAGCACTGCAAGACATCAGTGAAAATACGAAACATATGATACTCTGCAACATCTGTTGTTGTTGTTTTTTTGTTTTTGTTTTTTTTTTCATTGTTAAAATAAGGAAAACAAAATTACACGCATTTTATTTCATCCATATTTTAGTAATAAGTACAAATTAGTCAACCTATTTTCTTTCGTAAATATCGGACACATAGATGCTTTCAAAGAGCAAGCATGCTATGCGGGTATTTAAAGTCCGAGTGTTTCTACAGTTGTAATGCCACAGATAAAAGCGCGATTATTGCATAAAAATGGAACTCTGGCTCAGAAAATACGCATTTAGCTACTCTTCTTTCGTATACAAAATCTAACATACTTTTCCCGTGCGAGTACCATGTCAATTGATACTTTTAATTTGATTATTTCAACCACATATGTAAACACCCTGCCTCGTGATGCACCTATTAAAACAAAAAACATCAGTGAGTGCTCTATAATTTGACGCGGTAATGCATTTCTTTTTCCCCTTTTTTCTATACCTGCTTTAGCTGTACGACGTCTCTCACGCTAACTAGCACTTACTTAGGTTGTCCCAACATTATTAAACTAGGAGTGTCGCTCATAAAATGTAGCCACATGAATAATAAAATAAAATATCAGACGATCGGGGCAACAATGCTAACAGTAATTAAATTTAGGGAAACATTTCAATAGAAACGTGTTATAAATTACCTTAATTCAGATAAAGTATATATTAATCTTCATGTCGTTTTATTAAAAGATGAAGGATACGATAATTCATTGAAAAGAAAACACTCAACAAATAAGTTAATATTTACAATCAATAGCAGATATCGATCGTGATATGAGTGTTTAAGAATAAATCGTAACTAGTTATAATCTAAAAACGATATTCTATGTTATGTTTAACATTAAAATGATATGCTTGAAAATTTAAAAGTCTTAATTGTCAAACAGAAAATTGCAACTGTAATTATGTGCTGATAATCGTGTGAAATTCAAACACATTTAAAGTCATCTTTGATTTCGTTACCACATTCTGTCTATTGTGTTTGTTGCAAAATTTTGTCAGATATAGTGATCAATATATCTGATTTTTGCTCGGCTGACGCTAAAAAAGGACAACCCTCTTTATCATCTTTTTATCTTTATTTTAATTATAAATCATAACTATCAAATCTAACGCCAATTCATTTTGAATTGTGATACTAGTAAATGTTACGTTCACTTCATCTATGAAATAATTAACAATTTGCAAACAAAAGGCTAGTGAAATAGGTGATACTCTTTCTAAGTTGATTTATGCACATTATCCTAATACATTCATCAAGAGATACTTTGAGACTAGCTTTTATTAGTTAAATGTGTTTCTCACTGATGTCATAACATTTTGTTCCTAATTTCTTATATATACTTATATATACAAACACATTTCTTGAGAGTAATCATACGAAGCATATATAATTTTCATTTCAGTCACATTTTCCGTATTTCAGTATACGACATCATTATCTTAACTTGTTTGCACATGAAACAAAAGTGTGCTATTATAATAAAGTAAATTAAATATGTCATGTTTTGTTATTCTAACGTTTCCATCGCTGTAAATTTAATCGAACATTACTTTAACTTGATTATATATTTTGTATGTCAAGAAATTAAAAAAAGAAATTACTTCTCCAGTAAGGTCATTGGTTAACGTAACGACTTGCAAATTTTAATATTTGATAATGTAGAACACAGTTTTTTTTCATAATGTACGCGTAACTGTACAATAACCCTTACAAAGTCCAGAATCACACATGCATGAGTTGCTACCTGTTATGCAGATGAGACCTTAAACCGCATGCGGCGTACAAATATAACTATGTAACATATAAATTATTATAACACTATTTTGCAGTGATTCTTGAAACATTATTTGCATGTACGTACATATTGTGGATATTCATAATAAACAAATCGCTGATGGTGATCCATTTGTAGACCAGCGTTAAATGTTTGAACCACAACCATCGATAGACTCGTAATTTAACTCGGAAAAAAAGACCACGATCTCGACGTCCGTAGCTCTTGTGCAGAATAAATGTTCAAAGAAAACGACTTAAAAACAATTATTGAAAAAAGTAAACACTATTTAATTTTTTCATGTCAATCATAGAAATATAGCTTTAATTGAACATTAAAACTCGTTTAAAACAATAACTTACCGATTTCATTGATTTATCCAATAAATCACTTGTTTTAAAAGTGTCATTGTACAATGTTTTAGTCATAAGTATGTTAGTTATCATAGATCAGGTTTTCATCTCATAAAACAGTAGGCCTTTAATTTTATCAAACTAAATTCAATGCGTCTAGAAACTGAATCGTTTCGAAATTACATTCTGAATCAGGTATAAACACAGTTTGCATTTCTTAATAACAAGAAGTAACGAAAAGTTTTCTGTGTAAAAGAGACTTGTTTCTTGAATATCAACGATCATTTTGAAAAGAGAATGTTGTGAACGTAAACGAATAAAATTAAGAAAATATGATTATATTATGTGTTTGATTGGATGTTTACCTAAATTTTATTGAACGTCACATAATCATCATGCTTAAAGTTTGAACACACAAACAAACAGAACACGAAACAACAGAAATGTTAATGAATATTTTTTTTTAATTCAACGCATCTTGTCATCTGGCCTACTTTTGCATTTTTTTACTAATTACAATTATATAAAATATTGTTGCTCAATAAGAGTATTATATAAATTAAGATATATCATTTCCGAGATCATTGAGTGTTGCTATGCTGACAATAATGTCCCGCAATGTTATGTTTTTCAAGGCGTGTCATTTATATATAAAATACTTAGTGAATACTTAATAAAGGGTATTATTCCGTAATGATTGTTGATACTAACTGCTTCATTATAGGAAGACTTACAACAAATATTACCGATTTTATAATTTAAAATAAAATAGCTTTATGCATATGATAGACTTTAGAGCTGCATCCCTCCAGGTGAGCAAAAGATTTTAAGAAAAATGAAACAAAGATTCGAGTACTAGGTGACTTTTTTGCAAACAATGAGTAATTTAGGTGAAGTTATCACAATATTTCTTCTGCGTTATTAATACCATAACGTGGATTGTAATAATTTATTGTCGTTTGCAACGTGTAATTAACTTTTTTGTCACTTCACAATAGTTTACTTTCAAATACTTGTTCAAAATTTTCATGAAAATTACCATGTATTTGTTGGCATGCTGCTTTAAGTAAATACTTTAGTTCCCGGCATAGGTTTTGGTTGCCCTCTTGATACTATACAATTGTTGCTGTCTTCTTTTTACAAATAACTTCGTCATTAAAGTTGTGATATGATTAAAGAATAATAAATCCATACGTTCCAATGTCGCTATGCTGGCCTAATAATGTTCAACGGTTTTAACAAGAGGCAAATTTGACTAGAACATTTTAAGAAAAGCAATAGTTAAATGTTTATGGCAATGTTTGATCTTAAAACATTATATTAAATAAATTGTATTAAAGTTTGTATATTGATATATAATTGTCATAAAACACAGTATATTTTTTAAAGCAGACTCATAATCAAAGAAATAGTTGTTGATCCTAAATCAAAACACAGAAATACAATTGATATAAAGAATGTCAATTTAATTTATTCGCACTGTCACTGGTCACTTTCTCCAGAACAATATATAATATAATCAAGTACCATAATTTAGGACGATGAGCAACACACGATCTATATATTTTCTATATAGAAAACGAAAACGAGGCCCGAAAGAAATGGCGGCTATTTGTAACTTGGAGAAAATAGTATATTGATTTTAGCGAATTTGGCGTATAAAAACTTATTTTCTTCGAAGCACCTGAATACAATTGTAACAAATCACTACAATAGAGGTAACAATAAATTATTTTGGTGAATAATGTGGTCTGGATTCAATAATTCAGTTCAACAATTATGTCAACAGATGGCAACAAAGGAAACAGGGGGGTAATGCCGGCACTAATAGCAGTAAGTCAAAACAACAATCTGCACGGGAAAACCAGACGAACCAAGCATGTTACATACCACCTTATCCCCAATACCCCCAATACTCTGGGTCTAGTTTCTTTCCTCATACAAGTGGACATAGCCCGGTGTTTCGCCCAACGATGTCTTTGGGGTTTCCATCATGCCCCACCCACGACAATACTCAACCAAATGTACTTGATCTAATGAATGAGATGAACAACCGCCTTAAAGCTATTGAGCAAAATGTCTCTAATATTGAACCCATCGAAAAAAAGTATTACTAAACTTACAGCAGAGGTGTAACAAATCCGTCAGGACAATAAATCCATTGAATCACGAATGAATGATGTTGAACTTTATTGTCAAACAAATAGTTCTATCACTGAACAAGCCATAAATGACTCAGAAAAAACAATACAACATATCGACATGTGAACTACACATCTTGAAAAACAGATTGAAACATTAC